GTGTGAAGGGGGGGGGGGGGGATGGCCATGCTACAATCCCCTCTCCTCCAATCTCCTCTCAGGATTTTGGGCACGCACGCACAGGCTCCCGGCTTGAGTTTCAAGCTGATGGGTCTGGGACTTGAACAGCAGTCCGCTACATGCGAATCCAGCAACATAACCATTATGCCATCTGCTGGTTCCTAAAAAAGTATTTTGTACAGCTGGTGCATTGTACTCCCACATGGCGGACTGCAGTTTGGGTCCCAGACCTGGTGGCTTGGATTCTCACTTTCCCGCTCTCTCTCTCTCTCTGGTCAAATTAAAATAATAAGAAGGGGACCAGCAGATGGCATAATAGCTACGTTGCTGGACTCCCATGTAGTTGACTGCAGTTCGAGTCCTGGACCTCTCATGTAGTTGACTGTGGTTCAAGTCCCAGACCCGGTGGCTTAAATTCACTCCGGGTGGTGTGCATGCATACCCAAGATCCCAAGAGGAGAATGGAAGAGAAGGGATTGTGGCATGGCCATCCCCTCTGGGGGGTGATTTCTCGCTTTCTATCTTTCTGTCTCTCTCTGTCTGGTGAGTGCATACGCCCTATAGCAAAAACCTCTCCAAAAAAAAAAAATTTTATTCTTTCTTTTTTTGTTGTTTTGTTTTGTTTTTGCTATGGGGTACTTGTATTTGCCAGAGAGAGGCAGAGAGAAAGTGAGAAATCACCACCCCCCGGGGGGAGGGGGAGAAGGGCCGTGCTACCATCCCTTCTCCTCTGCTTTCCTCTTCTGGAAGTTTGGGTATGCATGCACATGCTCCTGGCTTGATTTCCAAACCACTGGGTCCAGGAGTCAAACCATGCTGTCAGCCATTTGGGATCCAGTGCCTCAACCACCATGCCACCTGCTGGCCCAGAAGTATCTATTCTTTTAAATTGTGGTAGAATTTTAACATTTTTCCTTCTTTCTTTTTTTTAAATTTTTTTATGAGAGAGGTTTTTTGTTGTTGTTGTTGTCATTTTGTTTTGTTTTTAAGGTTTTTGCCATGGGGTACATGCGCCCACTGGGGGGAGAGAGAGATCATGAGAAGGAAAGTGAGAAACCACTCGTTTCCCCGAAGGGAGATGGCCACATTACAATCCCTTCTCCTCCATTTTTCTGGGATTTTGGGCACAAACACACAAATGCACCCAGTGTGATTGTTAAACTGCCAGATCTAGGACTCAAACTGTGGTCAGCGATGTAGGTATCCAGTGCCTTAACCACCGTTCCCCCTGAGAGATATATTTGACAGGGTCTTTCTTGGCTTTGATATGCTCTTCCCTATCCTCCCAGTTAACCAGGCTTGTAGATATATGCTGTCACCCCCAGGCTATTCAGGTTGGTCTGATATCCAAACTTGTGCCTTCCATGTGGCCCCAGTCTCATGCAGCAGCACCCTACTGCTATACCAGCATGGCTAGCATTTTTATGGAATTTAGGACATTCTCATTGTTGTGTAACCATTTCTGATCTTTTTTTTTTTTTTAAGTATTACTTTATTTTAACTTTATTTATTTATTTTATTTTGACCAGAGAGGGACAGAGTGAGAGAGAGAGAGAAGGAAAGTGAGAAAGCAAGCCACCAGGTCCAGGACTCAAACCATGGTTGGCCAAATTTTTTTATGAGAGAGGTTTTTTGTTGTTGTTGTTGTCATTTTGTTTTGTTTTTAAGGTTTTTGCCATGGGGTACATGCGCCCACTGGGGGGAGAGAGAGATCATGAGAAGGAAAGTGAGAAACCACTCGTTTCCCCGAAGGGAGATGGCCACATTACAATCCCTTCTCCTCCATTTTTCTGGGATTTTGGGCACAAACACACAAATGCACCCAGTGTGATTGTTAAACTGCCAGATCTAGGACTCAAACTGTGGTCAGCGATGTAGGTATCCAGTGCCTTAACCACCGTTCCCCCTGAGAGATATATTTGACAGGGTCTTTCTTGGCTTTGATATGCTCTTCCCTATCCTCCCAGTTAACCAGGCTTGTAGATATATGCTGTCACCCCCAGGCTATTCAGGTTGGTCTGATATCCAAACTTGTGCCTTCCATGTGGCCCCAGTCTCATGCAGCAGCACCCTACTGCTATACCAGCATGGCTAGCATTTTTATGGAATTTAGGACATTCTCATTGTTGTGTAACCATTTCTGATCTTTTTTTTTTTTTTAAGTATTACTTTATTTTAACTTTATTTATTTATTTTATTTTGACCAGAGAGGGACAGAGTGAGAGAGAGAGAGAAGGAAAGTGAGAAAGCAAGCCACCAGGTCCAGGACTCAAACCATGGTTGGCCATGTGGGAGTCCAGTACCCTTAACCACCGTGCTACCTGTCACCCCTCTAATAGGTTCTTAAATGAGCTAAATAGTTGAGCATATTGCTTATGGAATAGCATTTTCTGTGTTCTTCTCTGAGTAGAACTTGTTAAGGTGGGCAGGACATTTTCCCTTTATTTTCCAGTCCTTTGGAATATCAGATCCAAAGAAGCTAAGGCAACTTTCCCATTCTTCCTTGCTTCCTTTTGCTAGCAAGAATACAACTTGTGAGGACCTCGGTAGAGTTGTGCATTCTACCCACAGTCTTCTTTTTCCTTCCCATTCCTCCTTGACTGTGACTGTCCTGAAAGCTTGAATTAGATTCCAGTTCTGAAGTAGAATTTCTACTCTGATCTTAAGCATGTTTAGAGGAACATGATGGTGATATTGTTAATATCTACTCATGAAGCTATGCTATTAAGTTTAATATTTATTCCCTGGCCTTTTCCATGTGTATTTAGAGCCCTTGAGAAAAGAACTTAGGTCTGTTTTATTTTCTCTAGGCTCTTAAGACTTTTAGGATTGACCCCACCATGTGCTAGAGCAGTCCCCTCACTCGAAGACCCTAGATCTACTTCTATGCCCAGTAGCCTAAGATTGCTCATTGCAGTGAGCCTGCAATTAGATCTATATTGCAAACACTCTATCTATATAACAAGCTCACAGGAACCTGAGCAATTGACACTGAGTCAACCTATCAGGCTTTTCTTCTCTCTTAATCCCAATAGCTGGCTCCCACGGGAAGCACCTCCCTGATCAACTCTATGACTGTCATCCAGAATCCTGTGAAGGTCTGTGATCAGGTATTTGCCCTGATTGAAAACCTCACCTACCAGATCCGGGAACGGATGCAGGACCCCAAGTCTGTAGGTGGGTATGACTACTATGGCCTTTCCTTCAAAGTCTCAGGTATGGATGGGTTTCTCAGGGACTCCGTTGTTCTCTCCTAAATGCCTGAGACAAGGTGTCCTCATTTCTCAGAGTCTTCTGTTAGAGGTAAAATCTTTGGTCTGACTGCCCACTTTCTTTCAGACCTGCAACTCTACCACAGTGAGACGCTAGAGCTAATGCTACAGCGTTGGAGCAAGCTGGAGCGTGACTTCCGGCAGAAGAGTGGGCGGTATGATATTAGTAAAATCCCTGACATCTATGACTGTGTCAAGTATGATGTGCAGCACAATGGCAGTCTAGGACTTCAAGGCACAGCAGAGTTGCTTCGTCTCTCTAAGGCACTGGCCGATGTGGTCATCCCCCAGGTATGTCCCGCATAAGGGATCTAGGCTTGGGATAAGGGCACTGGGGACGAAAGGAGAGAAAAGGTGCCTAGCAGGGGCGATTTGGGAACTAGGGGAAGGAAACGTAGAGAAGGAATTAGCTGAGTTGCTGCAGTTCTCAGGTTCCACTCTGGCTCTGGGTAAGTACAGGAGGAGATAACCTGGAAACAGGGACTAATATAATAAACATGAAAGAAGCCCCAGACCTAAGACAAAGGTAGACATGATCTTGGGTCTAGGAGTTTGAGGCAAAAGAAAACAAGATTCATTGAGTTACTTATTCCTGGCCTATGGCCTCTAGGAGTACGGGATCAGTCGGGAGGAGAAACTGGAAATTGCTGTGGGCTTCTGTCTTCCACTGTTGCGGAAGATACTACTTGACCTGCAGAGAACCCACGAGGATGAGTCTGTCAACAAGCTGCATCCCCTGTGAGGGAGGGCTGGGAGGGGTGCTGGATGGAGGGAGGGGCATGTCAGGGAGCCCTGGGGGAATCAGGCTGGGGGACAAGAAATAGAAGGGATCCTGGGTTGGAAAGAAGTCTGAGATGGGAGGAGGGAGTTTGCAGAAGGGTGGGAAGAGGATCATCTGACCATGTGGTGATTTAGCTGTCATCTCAGGTACTCCCGAGGAGTGCTCTCCCCAGGCCGCCATGTTCGAACACGTCTCTATTTTACCAGTGAGAGCCACGTCCACTCTCTGCTGAGTGTCTTCCGTTATGGAGGACTTCTTGATGTAAGGGCCCTTTTTTTTTTCCTTAGCCTGTGAACATCTCTTCCCAATACTTTCTTCTTCATACTTCTTTTCACTGCAAGCTTTTCCCAGTCTGCTCAGTTCACTGACTCCCTTGTTCTTGGGCATTGGCTTTGTCTCATTTTGTGTTCGGTAGGAGACCCAAGATGCACAGTGGCAGCGAGCTTTGGCTTATCTTAGTGCCATCTCCGAGCTCAACTACATGACCCAAATTGTCATCATGCTTTATGAGGACAACACACGGGTGAGGAGCTAACAGGGTGGGATGTGGAGAGGGCCCTTTACTTTCTTTTATTTAACTTTATTTATTTATTTATTTAAATTTGACCAGAAAGGGACAAAGTTTGAGAATGAGAAAGAGAGAGGGAAAGTGAGAGAGCAAGCCGCCAGGTCTAGGACTTGAACCGCAGTCGGCCATGTGGTAGTCCAGTGCCTTTAACCACCATGCCACCTGCTGGACCCAAGGACCCCTTTCTTTCTATCTTTATTATTATTTTTAAAAATCTTTCTTATTCTTATAATTTGTAGAATCTAGCTAGGTATAGCTTCTAGGCACAGAATTACAAGAGCATCTAGGAGGTTCTACTGAAGCAGAATATGTGTTCTGGGATGATGTTGAGCCAGAGAGTAACCCAGAACACAGATCTGGTATTAGAGAGGGAATGGAATTTAGGGCAATGTTAAGTCCTGTCTCTCAGTCATGATTCTATATTTGACTCCACAAAGGTCTGTCTGCCTGTGTGTGTGTGTGTGTGTGTGTGTGTGTGTGTGTGTGTTTATATACATTTATACACATACACACATATATAAACTTTTTTTTAGTGGTCAGAGAGCATGTGCACTCCCTGAAGAGAGAAAGAAATAAGAAATAGAGAGTTAGAAAGCAACCCCCACGGGGGGATGGTCATGTCATGTCATGCCACAATCCTTTCTCTTCCATTCGCTCATAATTTGGAGCATGTGCACACACACACACACACACACACCTGCTGCTTTTATTTTTTCTTTATTTTTAGATTTTTGCCATAGGGCATGTGTGCTCACTGGAGAGAGACAGTGAGAGGGAAAATAAGAAATCACCCTAGGGGGATGGTCACACCACAATCCCTTTTCCATTCTTCTCCTGGAATTTTGGATTCACATGTATATGTACCCAACGTGATTTTTAAGCCACTGGGTCTGGGACTTGAACCGTGTTCAGTCATGTGGGAGTCCAGTGCCTTAACCACCATGCCACCTGTTGGCCCCAGTTGGTGTGTTTTTCATTTGCCAAGTCTGGGACTTGAAACACACAGTCAGGCATGTATGATCTAGCCACCCCAACCTTCACACCTTCTACTGGCCCCAAAGATATCTTTTAATGTGCTGCTGCATTCGCTGTAGCAAAGCTTAATTATAGTGGGAAATGGATGGGAAGGATTAAAGAACCAGAAGTCTGAAAGTCATATGGAGCAATGAATCACCAGTGGTGATGAGGTAAAGAGGATCCTGTAATAGACTATACTTAAAGGAAAGCTGCAGCAGATCAGCCCCAGAAGGGAGTAGGATACTGAAACCTCAACCCTGGAAGCGTGTATCCTTTCAAGTTCCTCACTGTTGCCCTGGCCTGGTCTCCACCACCATATCCAACTTCTCCAACTCCCCCTTTATTTGATGATGCCCACAGGATCCCTTGTCAGAGGAACGGTTCCATGTGGAGCTGCACTTCAGCCCTGGAGTGAAAGGTGTCGAGGAAGAAGGCAGTGCCCCAACTGGCTGTGGGTTCCGTCCAGCCTCTTCTGAGGTGGGTCAGAATAGTGGAACGTGGGACTGAAAGACTTAGGAAACAAGTAGTGGGAAGCAATACAGGGAGATTATAGAGTTGGAGAGCCTGGGTTTGGGAGGCTGGAGGCCATTGACGCCTCCCTTTTCTCTGCCTGTTACTCAACAGAACGAGGAGATGAAAACAGACCAGGGCAGCATAGAGAACCTGTGCCCAGGGAAGGCATCAGATGAGCCAGACCGAGCGTTGCAGACTTCACCCCAACCCACTGAAGGCCCTGGCCTCCCGAGGAGATCACCCCTCATTCGTAACAGAAAAGCTGGCTCCATGGAGGTAATGGGAGGGGCTTGGGAAAGAGGTGAAGGGGTGAAAGTGCTCATCGGATTGTGTTCATGTATCTTCTGAATCCCCCAATCCTATTGGAATGTGTGGACCTGGAGCAGAGCCCTCCTGTCCCTGATGGATGTGTTTTATTTAATTTCTCTTTCACAGCTGGCTCCCAATAGAGCTTCTTTAGAATGGTTGTTACTTCTGAGATTAAAGAGCTGCCAGTGACAGGTGTCTAAAAAAAAGGTTTTTTTAAGAAATGAGATTGAAGAGGAGGTCTCTGGATGATTTTGAAAAGGCAATTCTTTAAAAGGAAATAGAGTGAAAACAACAGCAGCAATCTCTGTCTGCTGCTTAGAAGCTGTGTGACCTGGCTAGGTAGCCAAACTTCTCTAAGCCTCAATTTTTTCTTTCAGTCTGTAAAATCTGGATAATATTCACCTTAGAGACATTCAATAAATAGTAATAATAATAAAATTGATACTAAAAATGAGGCCCTCTCCATCTCTTTGTTGCCTTGGGTGAACATCATAGCTCAGACAAGAGCCGACACCTGGTACTTCAAGTTCTTTAGGGTTATCTATGCTGTTGTTCCAGAAAGGGGATCAGTCTGGAGCTCTTCCTTTTTTTGATGAGGAGATTTATCTGCCTGGTCCTATGTTCTGTCATTCTTGGAGTTTTCCTTTACTTCTGGTTCTAGTTCTAAAATCTGTCCTTTGGTTTTTATTTTGGTCTTTTTACTAGAAAGATCGTTTTCTTCTTTGGACCAAAAATTCATTTTTGACACTGTGAATTATCCCTGTCTCAGGGGCTTGCACCACCTGATTTGAGTTTCCTCTGGTCTGATGACTCTATTTACTTGACTCTGTACCGGGTCTCTATCTTAGAGGAATTGGTTTTCCACTTATGGATATCTCTGAAGAATCTGTAACTAGCTTGCATAGATTAAGCCAGAGGTTTAACAGCCCCAATTTTAGAGAAAGGTGAGAAGACAAAGTACAGTCTCTTTTCTGGATTCATCATTTACTTGCTGATTATTTTAAGGTGAAATCGGCATTGTGAAAATGCAGTTTCTTTAAGTAGGTTGTGTATTTTCTCTTTGAGATGCAGGTGTAACTGGGTATCCATACTATGTAATGCCCTATAGATTCATGCAAAATAGATCAGATTGAAAGAATGACACATAATGTTCCACCAATAGATTGCTGCTCCATAGCTGAGTGTCTTCCCCATTCACACGGTCTGCTAGTCTCCCTGACGCCATTGTGTTTGACCCCTTTTTTTCCTTCTGGTTTAGACAGGCAGGAAATGTAGTCAAAGGAGAGGTCTCCATGTATCACCTCCTAAGACTTGATGAACTACCTTTTTCTTTCAGACCTATAGGAAGTTTCCTGTAATCACATTCCTTCCTTTCAGTTCTAGAGCTGCTTAGACCCTGGTTCATCCAGGATGGTGGTTGCCCAGATTATGCACCTCACCTTTGTAAGAAAATCTCTCTGCATCTTGGTCACACAGCCTTACATTATTTCTTCTTCTTGCTCTATAAATATAGGTATTGGACAGTTTTTATCAGCCATATCCTTCGCTCATCTCTTCTCCTTTTGTCATTCTGTATATATATAAACTGTTTTAGATGACAAAACTGGTGGCCTTCATAGCAACTGGGCCTCACTGGTTATCTTTTCCAGTTCTATAACTAGCTCGCCCTATGGGCACTGGGGCTTTTGGGAGCCTGGGAGCTAAAGGAGCCGTGACCGGCTTTCCACCCGGTCTGATTGCAGGTCATGAACATGCAGTGCACGGGGAACCTGGACCTGATCCCCTTGCGGGGACGGCGCCGCCGGAGGTCAGGAGACCTCCCCCGGCCTTCCCCAGCCATCGGCCTACAGCCCCGGGCTGTGTCCACCACTCACCTGGCGTCCTGCACACAGGTGTCCCTCCCTACCTCACTTGCCTTTCTTGCCTCTGTCTTTGCCTTTGGGAACTAGGGACTTAGAACTCTATCTAGATGGGATGTATATGTGTTGGGGGTTGTGTGATTGGGCCCTCATGGGCATTTTTAGAAATCTGTCTCAAGTGTCCAGGAGCAAGATAGTTGGAAGGGAAGCCTTCCTGGTTCATATAAGATACTGTATATGGTTGCAGTGGCCACAACTGCCCCATAGAAAGAAGAGAGGGTAGGGGACCAGCAGTTGGTGTAATGGCTATGTCGCTGGACTCCCATGTAGTCAACTGCGATTTGAGTCCTTGACCCAGTGGCTGAAACTCATACCAGGCACGTGTGTGTGCATGCCCAAGATCCTGAGAGGAGAATGGAGGAGAAGGGATTGTGACGTGGTCATCCCCCTTGGGGGTTGACTTCTCGCTTTCTGTCTCTCTGTCTTTCTGGCAAGAGCATGCACCCTGTAGCAAAAATCTCTGGGGGAAAAAAAAAAAGAAAGAAAGAGAGAAAGGAAGAAAGAGAAAGAGAGAAAGAAAGAAGAGAGGGTGGCTGACTTTAACTTTCTACTTATGGCTGAGCAATGTGATTGGCCTTCTGAGTCCTGGGAAGGGATAGACAAGATTAGGGAGCTCTGCTCTGCTGGGAACCAGAAATGGTTGAATAGCAATTTCTCATATGGGAGGACTGTGGGCTTGACAGCTTGAAAATAGTCAGATTCCCCGAACAGTAACCTCCACGAAGTACTCTCTCTGTTCCCTTTTCATTCCTTTTCCCTTATAAATCTTTTGGTTCTTCCAAACTTTCTGACACTGCTTGGCTTTGTAGGGGAAGGAATTCAGGACCTGGGTTTTATGCTGCTGGATTAAGGTGGCAAAATGATAACATAGAGTCTTTTTTCTGCAGGTGCTTTCTGAAACTTCGTCTTCGAGGCCTGGTGGGTACCGGCTCTTTTCATCTTCACGGCCACCAGCAGAGATGCAGCAGAGTGGCCTAGGTACGGTTTTCCAGCATCTCTCACCTGTTTTTGGAAAGGGGTGTCTGTCTGTTCTTTAGAGTTTTATTGTGAGAAGCCTTTGTCATGGGAGTAGGAACCATGAAGTCAGTGGAAGTGTCAGGCTGGGGCAAGGAAGATGAAGTGAGAGATGCCATATTTATATGTGAATTTGGTTGCTACCATCCCAGGAGGGTGTTTATCTTCTGGTTTTCTACACCAATCCCCATGTCCCTGACTGAAGAGCATTTTTCCAGCTTTCCTTCTCATTCCTTATCTGTCCCTCCAGTTGAGCCCAGACCTTAAGGGGCCATGGAGACTCTGAACCTTCAGAGTTAGCAGACAGAGCTATAAATAGAGGTACTTGTGATCCCCGTAAATGTCATATTCTTCATTTGGAGAGCTTGTACCTTGTCCTCCCTTGAAACCTTTGTTTTCCACATCCTTGCTCTGGCCCCTCCTACCTATATGTCATCTCTTCCATCCCCTCCTAATTCTATAACTTTTTCCCCTCGCTTCTGGAAAATTGAGGGATAAATCTGAGACTTAGTGGTAGAGGCTTCTCTCAGGACTTTCAGGGAATCTCTTTATTTTTCTGATCTCTGGAGAAGGTGGAGAACATGCACCCTTTTCTAAGAACACAGACTGAAGGAAGGACCAAGCCTCAAAGGGTTTTATATTTTCTGGGAGGGGGAGGTGGTACTTGGGAGGGACTGTCTCTGAACACACTATCCTGTAAGTCAGTCACTAGAACTGGAGATCGTTGACAATTGCATGGGGTCTGGACATTGTCCCCTGGCTCTTTCTATTTTGTCTTATTATTTTATTTAGCTCATCTTATTTTTCTTTCAGTTTTGTCCTTGTCTTTCAATTTCTTGGCGCCAAAATGGTCAGCATTTGGACCAGCAAGGAAGAGAAAGGTTTTGGTAATTTTCCAGGCTAATTTTATGAGAATAGGTTTCCTTCTAGAGTCCTGAGATAAGATAGATAGTGTGACACATGAGAAATAAATGAAAAATGTATAGTTCTATAATGTGGACTTATTTTCTCAGAAGCCCTAGTAGGGGATAAATATATATAGGCTGGAAAAAAGGATAGGTATGTCTGCCCCAGTTGATTGGGAGTGCTTTCAAGAATGAAGCAGAGATATAAACATGGCATTAGTTGACAGATGGTGGTGGTAAGGTAGAAGCCACCCTCTGAGATGATCCGAGGACTGGGAAGAGGAGGATGGACATGACTACATTAGAAAATGATTCAGTGGAGGAAGTAGATGTAGAACAAAGCTCAGGGTAGTCTGGGATAGAGCCAGCTAGTTTCAGCTTCTCCAAAGAGGAGCAAACATATTTAACAGCCTTTACTACTCTCTGGAACCCCATTTTAGAATCTGCTTGTGCATGAAAGGTAGGAGAAGTTATTGTGTAGAGGAGAGGTTTAAAATTCCGGGGTAAAGATCATCAGCCATCTGAGTTTGATTTTTCTGGTGACCTGGAAATCCTGAGACTCCTGAAACTATGACTCCTTCTTTATGGTCTCAAAGGAAACTTCCTCCTCTCTGCTCTGTCCATCATCCCAATGAATGTTAAGTCCCAAGTCAAAGTTAGGGTCTTAACTAAGATGGATTTGAAAGTAGAGGACAAGTGCCAAGGCCTTGGGTGTTAGTCTTGTTTCCTCCTGACTACTCTGTCCTTATGAGCCACAGTAAGAGAAGGAACCATGGAGTCCCCACCCTACTCTAGGTCAGATTGGGGGCAGTGACTGGCCTTATTTACTGTTTTCTGAGATTCCTCAAATTTTGTTACTCCTCTGATTGACAGTGGAGTTCTCTTTGCTTTCTTTGAACTTATGTATATGAGCATCTGGCTTTGAGCATAGAGCTTACAAGGCAATAAATTTTCAAGAACTGAAAAAATGTGTCATTTTGTTGTTTCCCACTTTCCTTCTTGGTTAGGGTGCTCAGCACATAAATGGCATGCTCTGCATATAATCAGATGATTCTTCACATGCCTTATCATTTGTGTCCATCTTGACTTCAGAAATTATACTGTTTCTCTCATGAAAAAAAAAAACCCACTATATATTTTCTAACTGAATACAGTTGATTCTCAGAGTCAGGAAATCTAGATACTCATCCATTAGCTCCTAACAAATGATGTGACCTTGAACAGAGGCGATCCCTTTTGGATCTTGTTTCTTCATCTCTAAAATGAGAAGATTGTACTGTGTGCTCGCTGAGTCCTTTCCAGTTCTAAAGATTCAATGAGTCTCATACTTTTGTTCTTTGGAAAGGTAAATAGGTTTGAAGGGAGGAAGGGTGTTTGATAAAGAATTGGAAAGATCTCAGCTGAGAGCTCAAACCTCCGTCTCTAGTTTTAATCACAACTCTTTTGAAACATGGAAGGAACTAGATTTCTTCTGAGTTTCTTTAGGCTTCTCAAATCCACTTACCTTGGATTTACCCAGGGTAAAGAACACTGAATTAATCTATGGGAACCTAAAGAGATCTACCTTTTTTATTTTCAGTATTTCTGACAGATACCTAGAGAGCACAGTCTATTCCTTTTGGTAGCTTTGAATCCCCTAATATGACTAACCCTGCATTTGTAGTGGCCTCTATGTCTGCCATGTAGACCTTCAGGAGAATCCCCACTTTGCTTGCCCAGTGTGGCTATGAACAGTAGTATAAGCAGTTTGTGATCACATGGTGGTGTCTCTGAATGGCTGTGTGTATGTCTTAATGTCGTCTCGTGAAGTTGTGTTTATTTCTGTGTGGTAGTTGCAGCTTTGCGTGGCTACTAATGCACTCCCGGCCTTGCAGGCTCACAGTGCACAGGGCTGTTCAGCACCACAGTGCTGGGTGGCTCCTCCAGTGCCCCGAATCTTCAGGACTACGCCCGCAGCCATGGCAAAAAGCTACCACCTGCCAGTCTGAAGCACCGAGATGGTATGTGGGTGGGTTTTGGGGGGCAACTCTCTCCTTCATTTATCTCCCACCAGGAACCCAGCTCAAGTACTATTTATGCTTAAGATAGCATGACACTGGCCTTGTAACAAGTTTTCTTCAGTGATAGATGGGAGAAGGAACCAGGACCCCTCCCACCCCTTCATTTGCATTCCCTCTCGCTATACAAATACTACTTATTTATGCTTATCCCTTCATAATCTCCCACATACAGCCCTGCTGCATCAATTTTTACTCTTTCCTGGATTCTGGACTGTAGGGGTAAGGATCAAGGAGGATGATCCATGGTCAGGAAGGATGCAGTGGAGCCTCAATTAAAATCCAGAAAATCAGGGTTAAGAATGGGGAAGTTGCTCAGCTAAGGCAAAAAGAAAAAAAAGGAAATTGGGGGAAAGGATGAAATATTCTACAAAGATTTTATTTCCAAATGGCCAGAAAGAAGATACAGTGGTAAAACTAGGGTTGTTTGTGGGGCTGTATATTGGTGGAGATGACCCGTAGATTGCTAAGAGATTGTACCAGGAGAAAAGACTGACATGTTGTAGGCAGGAATCTGAAGGATGGGGATGGGAGCAGCTCATGTAACTAACTGTACAGAGCAGAGTATATGGCGGGCAAACTCCAGAGCAGAGGGTGGGGACAGGGGTGGGTATAATCCCCATGATGTCTTTTCTCCCCAGAGCTCTTGTTTGTCCCGGCCGTAAAACGATTTTCTGTGTCGTTTGCAAAGCATCCGACTAACGGTACGTTTGCTTCTGACTCAATGTCATCCCTCCTCACCATGTCACCTCCAGACACTTAACCTCTGAGTTCTGACACTGACTGTGCCTCTCCTTCCTTGTGTTGATACCTTGCTGTCTGAGTGATCCACCCACCAAGTGTCCCTCCTGGGACACTTTCCTTGTGACAACCTTAGTCTTGGCTTCAGCCTGGCTGTCCTTCCCTGTGGCAACTCAGGGTCTTACTTCCATAATCACCATCATCACCATTATGTCCCTTTTGTCAGCATCACCATCAAAACTTTGATTAAACTGCTTCCTTTCCTATCACATGCCGGGCTGTATAGCAATGTGACCATGACTCCTTCTTAGGAAGAGAATAGTATTTCCTAGATTGGTTCCATTTCCTCCCCCTTCCCCCAGCTTACCTGATTTTGTTCTTCATGGTTTTTTTTTCTTTTTTTTTTTTTTTTTCCCAACTCTTTTACTGGAGTGGATGACTAATTTTTCCCTCTCTTGGAGCAATGCTGCAGTTCCCAGCTCCCAAGCCGACTTCTAAGGGTACTGATCTTGAGTATATAGTTTCCCATCTCCATATTCCTCTTCTCTGCCATTATATGTACTTTGTGTGGCTCGTGTGTTTCCAACATCTGCTTTATGTGACTACTAACCTGGTGGCTGGGCCTGGAAAACAAGAGCCCAGATTGCCTTGGGATGATAGAGAAAAATAAAGGAGTAGAAGGTAATAGGTAAAGAAAAAAGAACTATACTTTGAGTTTTTAAATGTATTAAGTTGTTGGGAAAGTCATGACTTTTTTTTTTTTCTTTTCTTTTTTTTTTTTTTTAAGAGAGATTTTTGTTATAGGGCTTGTGGACTTGCTGGAGAAACAGGGATAGAGTGACAGAAAGCAAGAAATCACCTCCCAGGGAGGATGGCCATGTCACAATCCCTTCCACTCCATTTTCCTCTCGGGATATTGGGCATACATGCACAAGCCCCTGAAGTGAATTTTAAGCCACTGGGTCTGGGACTTGAACTGTGGTTGACTACATGAGAGTCCAGTGACATAACCATTATGCCATCTCACCTGCTGATTCCCATGATTTTTTTTTTTTTTTTTACATAGAAAAACAGAGGCAAAATATGCCATGACTTTTCCAACAACCTAATCGTTTCCATGTGGCTCAGCCTACTTATGGCAGAACTGGTTCAGAAAAGCTTTAAATGAAGAGTTGAGATGTGTGTTGGGAATTCTGAGGGAGCTTAGGAATGAATAATTGTTCATGAGCATGAAAGAAATGAGTCTTTCACATTAAGGTGGGAAAGTTTGGAGATCTATGGAAACCAAAAATGGAAGAGCAATGGTTTCTTTGTAAGGTATGGCAGGAAAACCTAGGGCTCATTCCCTGTTGAGGTGTTATCCTTTATATCCATAGTTTTCTCTCTGTGCTGTATCTTCAAGGTAAACCCAATTTTGTTAAGTATGGTTTTCTTCTGTCCAAGAGCCAGGATTCTCTGAAGGAGGTGAAATAGCCTGGCTCCTTAGCTAGAAAGCCTCCCCATGCTGATCTCCTGCGGCCTAGCCAGTGGCAGCTGCTAGATTTTAGGTAGTCAGGTGATACATCTCCACGAGGCACTGCTGAAATCTTTGCCTAGGTTGACTGACATTAGTTCCTCAGTTTATCTCTGATTCCAGACTCCCATTTGTGCCAGTGGCAAGAGTCAACACTCAGAGTAGCTTGGCTGTGCCTACTCATTTAGCCTCAAGCTCTTCTGGTCTTCATATGCCACAGTCACCGGCAGAATTGAACTTGTCTCACCAACCCCATGTCCTGGGACTTGGGTTAGGGTCCATAATACAGTTCCAGTAACCTGGACCCCTGAAATTAGAGCTAAGTTTCTTTGGTTTCATAAGAAAAGACCCAAGTTCATAAAACAGATCCTCAAACCGATATATTTCTAGTTCCCTGAAGCTTTGACTAGCAGCCTCACCAGTTGAATAAAATCCTGTCCCCCAAAAAAGGAGAGGGGAAAAAGACCTGGATGATTCAGGTATAGAGCAGGAGAACAGATATAAAATTTCCTCCAACCCCCTGCACACTTCCTCAGAGGTCTTCTGGCCTCCTTTGTTTCTCTTATGCTTGAGCTTGCAGGCCGTTGTGCTTGAGAATCCACAATCTGTAATCTACCTGTTGTAGACATTGGGAGCTATTGTATTGCCTGCTGAAGATTATCTTGATTTAATTTGGCCTCGGGACAATATCAAGTCTCTATCCCATGGTCAAGATCTTGCTTGACTGCCCAGCAATTACAGAGTGGATGTGCTATCTGCATTTGCTTGTGACAGATTAGTCACAGCCCTGTGCCAGCCTATTGTCCCATCATCGCTATCTCCCTGCCATGATGTCTGGTTTTGAAACAGCTTGGTGAAAAACTGGACATGGCTTTGTAAAGGAGGAAAGGTAGTACTGTCTGTCTTCATAGTTTGTTGAGAAAGCAGTTCTTAGTCCATTACTGTTTCTATTCCTGATACGTTTCTGTCCCACCCTGTGACTACATCTAACACACAAATAAGGCCTGTTACTAAACTGCACGCTGAGTTCACCAAAGGAAATTAATAAAGTGGGGGAAAGACTGTGTCTCATCCTCATTCAAGTGTCAGAATGTACCCATTGGGTCTGCAAACCCGTTATTTTCCAGGGACCCACACAGCGGTGTTATAGTTGGTACAGTTAGTGCTTACCAGACTAGCCCAGGTAGAGCTGAAACCTCTCCTGACATCCAAACAGGTCTCTGAAAACCGTAGTCTCGAGGGATCGTTCTGTGGAACCAGTCCTGGTCTGGGAGTTCCAACTAGTCATCCTGAGCTGCCTTGATCTTTCCCTACACCAACATTCTGTACTCAGATTCTTACCTATCCTCATAACAGGTCTTGGGACCTCTTCCCCAAGAGCTTTCCCAACTTACCTCCACGTGCCTTTCACTGCTTCGGCCTTTGGCAGCACCCACTAAGTTTATCAAGCAGTTTAGACAATAAGAGGTTCAGAATCAAAGCTTTTATACTTGCCAGCTGAACAAAGTGCAGTTAGACTCAACAGTGGTGGGAAGAAAATATAAAATTATCTAACTTTTGACTTCTGTAATAGATACAGTGACCTTCAAGTCCTGAAATTTATATATACTTTTTAAAAAATCTGTTTATTTGCACAAGAATAAAGAATGATCAGTCAACATTGACATTTTCACATTACATTTTCTTTTCAAAGTTTATTTATTTCTTGAGAGAAGGAGAGGGTAAGGATGAGAGAAAGAGACCCCTGACCAGGTCTTGCCACACTGCAGTCCTCTTCCCAGCCTTCTAGCTAACCATGATCACAGGCATGCCTGTAAGCATACCTGTGTGTTCAGGCCCACTCAGGATCCAAATTCCAAATCCTGGACTTTTCCTTTTGGCTCCAGTTTTTTTTTTTTTTTTTCCTAAGTGTGCGTGCATTTGCCAGAGAGACAGAGAGACAGAAAGCAAGAAATCACCCCCCAGAGGGAATGGCCACGCTGCAATCCTTTCTACTCCTTTCTTCTCTCAGGATCTTGGGCATGCATGCACACACGCCTGGTGCGAGTTTAAGCCTTGGGGTCCAGGACACGAACCGCAGTTGACTACATGGGAGTCCAGCAATATAGCCATTATGCTAACTGCTGGTCCTTTGGCTCCAATTTTGTACAGTGGCACCTACTGCAGTGACTCCCTACCACCTGTGCCATAGCACTGGATTTGATTCCATTTTTAGCATGTATTTTATTATTTTTTTAAGAGATTTTTTGCTGTAGGGCACATGTGCTCACCAGAGAGACAGAGAGACAGAATGTGAGAAATCACCCCCTCCCCCAGGAATATGACCATGGTACAATCCCTTCTCCTCCATTCTCTTCTCGGGATTTTGGACACACATGCACACATGCCCGGCATGTATTTTAAGCCACCAGGTTGGGGACTCGAACCTATGTGGGAGTCCAGCAATGTAACCAATATGCCATCTGCTGGTCTCAGCGTGTACTGTTTTAATGGAGTCCTACACCTGGTTTTCAGCTATCTGTCCAGCACCAGCCCTGTCTGTGACTATCTTACTGTCTGGTCCAGGGGGCATGGCCTGAGCCTTCAGGAGCCCTTTTAGCACACCGTATCATTCTTCTTGTGTGAGCACAAGTGCTAGAGGGGTGGGGAGAGAGGGAAAGAAAGTACCTCCCAGCAGGGCTTGGTCACACTGCAATCCTTTTCTCTACAATTCTCTGTCCTGTCAGGATCCTGGGCACATATGCAAGTGTCCAGCATGTTTTTAAGCCACTGAGGCTGTGAACCAAGATCAGTCCTATCGGAACCCACTTCTGTGTCATGCACTGCGCTACTGTGCTAGCCTCTGCTATCATTCTTGACCTTCTCTGAGTGACTTTGAATCTTTTCATCTCTATCCTAACCTCTTAAATCCACTTGTCTGAGGAGCAGGCTTTAATTAGAGTTTTCCCAGGAATCATCCGGGGAATTGGAGTTCTTTTCAATGCTCTAATTCTCAGAGCTGCCAGCTCATCCCTGTCCAGAATGACATCGCTGCTGTCTGTAAGCACTGACTGAGTTATGCTCAAGGAGGAGTGGGAGGGCCTTGCCGTCTGGCGAAGGTCACACTAATCCATCCTTCTAGACTCACTGTGTGATGCCAACACTCCTCTTCCCTGCCCGAGAGGCCCAGCGGCTCTGACCATCTCCGCTTCTCTCTTAGCTCATGTTGGATCTGAGTGGCCCCCACCGCCCAGTAATGCTTGTGTCAGCCAGTGCCCCCTCATTGTCTCTCCCTCTTCTCTTTCTTTATCTTTGTGCTTCCTGCTGTGGTCCCCCCACCCCCTCCAGAGCTGCTGGATGACCAGCACCCTGTGGTCCGGTTGCTGCGCAGTTTTTCCTCTGACTGCCCAGGGGGCCGGCCAGTCTCCTTGGATGCCACGCTGGCGCATCACCTGCACCAGTGCTCCTACCACCTGCGCCTCTTCCGGAACTGGCTGCGCTCAGGCCAGGATGACCCCGAGTGCCTCTACGGTACCCCCTGCCACCAAGCTGGCTGCTGCCACTACCCCGGCTGGGACTGACTGCTTTGCTTATTGCACTTCTGGCAGGAGAGCCCACGTAGTCCTTTCTCCTCTTTGCCCTGAGGTTATGTGACTTGCATTTAGTCGCTTGGATGGGATTGGGGCCAGACTGCCTGGTAGCTGTAGCATTGGCTGCTCATCCCCTCCTATTCTCCTTTCTCGCCACCCTAATGTTACCCTTGCCCAGTCTGTTCAGTACAGAGGTAATCTCTTGCCCTGAAATTGGTTCTTATCTCTCTGACCTTCTACTACCACCATCTTCAAATCCAAACATTTTTCTAGCAACTCTGAGGAGCCAGAGAGACTGTACCTCTCCTGTTCCTCTGTCACTAGATTACAGGGGAGAATTGAGGCACAGGACCCTCACCCTCAGTGAGGCAAACAAGGGCTGGAGGTTAGAAGGTGGTGAGGTTTAGTCCTTTTAGATTATAGGCATTGGTGAACAGGAAACTAAGCCTTGCATAGATATTGCCATTCTCCCTATTCTTAAGGAGATGTGAAAAAAGCATAGGGAAGGTTGGGGACTGAAAGAGTGGTCAGGATATGCATTTCTTGATTCTCCATTGGGGAAGTGTTTTCTACCAAGAGTCCCTGGGATTAGGGTTATCTATTTGGGTTCACCCTAATCTATCCAGACCGGGAGACATATCCTGGAAAATTGTTGGGCTTAGAGCAGAAAATCAGCATTTATTCTTTTTTTCTAGGGGGTTTACCTCATTTTCCTGATGGAGTAGAGAGATTCTGGCAAGTCTAGGGCCTTCCAGTAGATCAGAAGGGAGAAGCTTTGAAGTGATGGAAATGACCAAGAAAGAACTTCCATCCCCCGGCTTGTTCATGCATGTAACTCTCCTGGGCTGAGCTTCATGTATATTGCATGCCCTCCAGTTTGCATCCAAGTATTCTAGCCCCTCTACCCACTTCCTAAGGTTGCATGAACTCCTCTTTAGATTCCATACCCTCCACCTTAATCTGGTTCTCTTATTCATTATTCCTAAACTCTGCTGTTTCTTCCCAGCTCCATGACCTCCCTGCCTCATGTTAGATCTACAATTTCACCCTGTACCTCTGGATCCTTATTTTATTCCCCTAGAAAGCGCAAGAACAATTTTGGTGCTTACCCTAGTGGGATTCTGTTGATTTTTTTCTACGGGACATTATAGGTTCCCCATAGGTAGTAAAGGTGATTTCATTTACCTGAAGGCTTTAGCAGATAAACCTTTTAGGATACCCAGGGTTAAAGAAACAGACTCCCCTAGGGACTCTAAAGAGCTCCCTTTCCTGAGAATCTTGGATACCCCAACACTCCAAAAGCCATGGACTCTCCTGATGGCTCTCAGGGACTCTCTATGCTTCCTTGGCCAGTTGGGGTTTATCTGGCAGGAATAACATTGACTTTCCTCATCTCTTTTCTAATAGGATTTGAAGGGTGCTCCATGGTGCCTACCATCTACCCCCTGGAAACACTGCATAATGCCCTTTCCCTGCGTCAAGTGAGTGAATTCTTAAGTAAAGTCTGCCAGCGCCACACCGATGCCCAGGCACAGGCATCTGCAGGTATGGAGAATACTCTTACTTTGCATTCCAACCTAAGCCCCCCACTGCCATGCTTACTAGAAATGGGAAAGTACATTAAAAATATAATTAAGGGGCTGATGCCATGGTCTAGTGACAAAGGGGGCCAAATCCTACATGGTTGGCTGAGTGGTTCAAATCTCGGCCTTGAAAATTTGAAAAACATGCTGGAGGGAATAAAAGAAAGCCATGCTGGGCCCATGTGCATTTGTGCCCCCACCAAAATCCTGAAAGGACAGAGACGTGGAGAAAGGGTTACAGCGAAGTCACACCTCATCGAGAGGTACTTTCTTTCTCTGTCTCCATGTCTCTGTCTCTGGCAAGTGCACATACATGTGGTGAATTTAAAAAGGAAAAAAAAAAGAAAAAGGAAAAAGATAGGCTCAGCTGCAATGGCAGAGGCAGCAAGGTACCACCACATGATATTGGTGCCACATAGGAGACACAATTTCAGATCCCGGGTTGACCAGAACACACCAGCTATGCTGGTGCTCATCCATAATCATGGCCAGCTGAGAAGATGGAGGAGAATTACATCATGGCAAGACGCTGTTAGGGGTACCTGTCCCTCTTTCTTTCTCTCATAATAAATAAATAAACTTAAAAAAAAAAGAAAAGACACTCCACAAAGACATCAAAGTAGATTTGTTTAAAAAGTATAATTCTTGGGCCAGCAGGTGGCATGTTGGTTAATGTGCTGGACTCCCACATGGCTGACCATGGTTCAAGTCCCAGACCCGGTGGCTTGCTTTCTCACTTTCCCTCCTTCTTGCTCTCTCTCTCTCTCTCTCTAGTCAAATTAAATAATAATAAATAAAAATTAAATAAATAATTATTTTTAGCAATATATCATTTCAAAGGCTAACTGAATGTCATAGAACCATCACTCTTT